AAGATATCTGTATTTAGTCATTTCCACATACCCATCAACAATTATGTAAGTTGTATTTAGTTTATTTTCCATTGAGGATGTCTAAAGAAAATGCTAACACACTTCACACTATATGTTGTAGTGGATCGTCTCATGTATTCAGTTACCTGACCTTGAAGTGGACTGTGTTCTTTGAAATATTCTTGCAAATACAGATATGTAGAATTCAAACCAAAGTGTTCGGCCCTCGTGATGTTTTTCTCAGCCTGCTTCACCCTCCATGGATCTCATTAAACTTTCTATCAATAGCTTCCGTCACGTGAACAACATCAAACTCTAGAGTCTTGGACCAGCGGCGGCCTGTGGTACCGAGGGCGCCGCTGCATTGGGGGGTGTATGGAGAAGGAAATGCATCAACCCGCATGTGATCACCTCTGCGGGGACGTGCGCACTATCTGGAACAATTAATGTGTACATATTATAGGATTATACATTATTATTTGCAAAGTCATTATTAAACGTAATGTTCTTGGTAAATCTGATTCCAGTCTAACTATGATGATGTCATACGTAAGCAAACAAGAATAGTTGATTAAAACCAGCAGGTGAGGTAAACAGGTCTGTGCAGCTTTTTCCTGACTTCTCCACAACTTCTGTAGGAGATTATTAGGATCTTTGTGTAGGTAAAAAGTATGAAGAGCGTGGGGAAAAGTGCAACATTAAGCAGAACAACTAGACCATATACAGATAGCACTCTCGAACTCACACAGTAAAGATGGTTGACCAAAATGTTACAAAAAACACCTTTCAAAACTAAGTGACAGAGTTTTGTGTTACTGTGTCGTACGACTGGCACTGCGACCTGACAAGCAGGAAGAATCCAGGCTGAAACCAGGAACATCCTCACAGTGGTTCTTCTCATGATAGTTGGATATTGTACCTATCATGAGTTAACCTTCCTGTCGTGTTCGGGTCAAATCTGACCGATTTACAACTTAAAACACTCATAAATATTGTGTTTTACATCTGATTGCCTTAAGGCCTTATGATATCCTCCACACTATGCACTCAAACATATAAAAGTGATGATCACCTCTTTCATTGAATTTTGAGTGTTTTAATCAACCTTGTTACACCTGTGGTGTTCCCGGTCAAAAGTGACTGCCATAGGAAATGAATGGGTATCCAGACTATATTCATCCATCTGACAGAAAACATCCTCATACACACCACCTCAACTCACTCACTCACTCACTCACTCACTCACTCACTCACTCACTCACTCACTCACTCACTCACTCACTCACTCACTCACTCACTCACTCACTCACTCACTCACTCACTCACTCACTCACTCACTCACTCACTCACTCACTCACTAACTCACTCACTCACTCACTCACTCACTCACTCACTCACTCACTCACTCACATTTCAGACTGAACAATGTCTTTTGCGGGTACACATCTCTTTCCCGCGCTTTATGTGCCGATCCTCCCACGTGAACCAACTTCCTGATGAAACAATGTATCATATCTTCACACAGACTAGACAGGTGTCTGTTATGTGAACCCATCTCTTTCCCACGCTTTTGTGCCTATCCCCCACGTGAACCACACCTTCCAGTCTAATCAATGTATCATCTTCACACAGACCCCATATATATAGCTTGATGTTTGCCTTGCACTCCTTTTACTCTGAGCACAATGAGTAGGCGACTGACCAAGCGGTTCTCTGTCGAAGAGGTTCTGGTCCAGGTTTTTGGACATGATGAAGAGGGCACTGAAATTGAACCAGAGATAGAGGAGAATGTCTCGGAAGTGGAAGACAACACAGATATTGATCCAGATTTTGAGGAGACTGACCAGTCAACAGAGGGAGAGGCACCTGAAGAACAGGCACCTGAGGAGACTTTCCAGTCCAAGAGTGGACACTTGCTCTGGTCTTCATCCCCCCAGGACAGAGGAAGTAGAGCGAGAATGGAAAACATCATAAAGATGACGCCAGGGCCAACACGGTATGCGACATCTCGTGTGGATGACATGAAGTCCAGCTTCCAACTCTTTTTACCAGAGTCCATTGAGGGAATTATACTGGAGATGACAAACCTGGAGGGGAAGCGGGTGTTTGGGGACACCTGGAGAGAAATCGACCTGGTAGACCTCCAAGCCTACATAGGTCTGTTGATTTTAGCAGGAGTATATCGCTCAAACAATGAGGCTACAAAAAGTCTGTGGGATGCAGAGTCTGGCAGGCCTATATTCCGGGCAACTATGTCCTTACAACAAGTTTCATGTCCTTTCAAGAATTATTCGATTTGATAACAGAGATACACAACCCGTCCGCTGGCGAAATGACAAACTGGCTGCCATCAGGAACATTTGGGACAGGTGGGTGGAGCGCCTACCACTTATGTACAATCCAGGCCCTGAGGTGACAGTTGATGAGCGCCTGGTTCCTTTCAGAGGTCGCTGTTCCTTCAAGGTGTACATTCCAAGCAAACCAGGGAAATATGGAATAAAGATCTGGGCAGCATGTGACGCCAGAAGCAGCAATGCCTGGAATATGCAGGTATACATGGGGAAACCCAGTACTGGAAGGGCCGAAAAAAACCAGGGCATGCGTGTTGTGCTGGACATGACAACCGGTCTCCAAGGGCATAATATCACATGTGACTTCTTCACATCATATGCTCTTGGTCAGGAGCTGCTGAAAAGAAAGCTCACCATGGTAGGGACAGTGAGGAAGAACAAGCCTGAACTTCCCCCTGCACTGGTATCGACCAGAGGAAGAGAGGCACTCTCATCAAAATTTGCTTTCACTGACACACACTCTTGTGTCATATGTTCCCAAGAAGAACAGAAATGTCATCCTGATGAGCACGCTACACAAAGACGCCACTGTCAGCACCACAGAGGACAGGAAACCACTTATGATCCAGGACTACAACAAGAACAAAGGAGGCAGTGACTGCCTTGATAAGGTAATGTAAAGTTTCATCCATCATGCATTTTATTTTATTCTTATTTATGTGAATCATAGCATTTTGTGTACAACAGATTCAATATTGTTCCCAATCTCTTATTTATTGTTCCTTTTATTGCAGCTTACTGGTACATACACCTGCAAGCGAATGACAGCCCGCTGGCCTGTGGCACTGTTCCACAACATCCTTGATGTGTCTGCGCTCAACACATATGTGGTGTGGACAGCCATCGACCCAACCTGGAATCAGGGGAAGAGTTTCAAGAGGAGACTTTTCCTAGCAGAGCTGGGGAAAGCTTTGGTGATTCCTGTTATTCAACGGTGCCAGCACATTCCCCGCACACCAGCCTATGCCAGTCTGGTTAGGAGTGTGCAAGCCCCAGCCCCAGCCGCTGCCCTGGCTGCTCTCCCCCAACAAGGACATGGGCAGAAAAGGAAGCGCTGTGAGCTCTGTGCCCCTAGAGACAACAAAACAAGCCTGAGATGCTGCAAATGTGATGCCTATGTTTGCAAGGCCCACTCTGACCTGAGTGTCACATGCCACTCATGTGCATGAATTCACATGCGCACACACACCTACACACACACACACACACCTACACACACACACCTACACACACACACACACACACACACACACACACAAGCGCGACTTCATGTTGAGTTTGGTCTTTGGTTTTCCATTTATTTTTTACATTACATGTTCATTTTGTAATACATTTTCAGTGCCTATTTGTATTTTCACTGCATTTATTTTATGTCTAATTCCATAAATTCATGTTAAACACTACTTTGAGACATTGTTCACAGCTAAAGAATGTTGAATAAAAATTTGGTGGTGAAAAATGTTTTTTGTGCTAATTTAAGAGCAGTTAAAACAGTTAAAACAGACCGGTCAATTTTGACCAGGAACACTAAAGTAAGGGGCGGAGGCGAACACGACAGGAGGGTTAAATGTTAAAATGTCCATCTTTACAGCAGAAATAAACATGTTTACAGCCTGGTGCAAAAAACAGTTTTGGTCTCTAGAGCTAATTTCCTCCTTCATGACACCTGTACGTGGGTGAATTTTTATATAACTCAACCATTTCAATTTTATTAAGGCTTAAAGTTATACATTATTGAGGGTGTGCTGCTTTGAGTGACAGGTGGGTGAGCATATGTTGCCACAAAGTCTCAGTTCCAAACACGCTCCATTTCTTTGCCCATTTTTGGATTAGCCAGAAGTTAGGCGAAGTCAGGCAATGCCAAGATAACAATGGTGGAGCAGCTTGTGGAGGTTTACAGAGAGCTCCTTGGACTTCATGACTTGGTGTTTGTCTGGACATTATATACACAGGTGCCTTTAAACTATGTCAAATCAATTACATCTGCTATAGAGGGACTAAAATCAAGTCCGAGACACATGTCAAGAATAATTAAACAGGAAGCACCTGAACACAGCTTAGAGCAACAGCAAAGGGTATGAATACTTCTGTAAATAAGAAAAGATTTCAGTTTTTCAGTTCAGATTTTTTATAAATTTGCCAAAACTTCTAAAACCATTGTCATTATGGGTTGTTGAGTGTAGATTCGAATTAAATCTACAACACAATGTGACATTTTTACCAGTTTTTATTCAGATTTCCACGTTTTGGGGGCATCACAACCACGTACACTGTAATGAATTAGGCAATTATTAATATCATATTTATTATTATTATCATTATTATTATTAATTGTCACCAGTGCAACAGGTGCAAGTGTGTGTGTATGCGGGTATGCACATTTCAGCCTAGAATTTGACGCATGTATCACAGTGACAAGAATTATTATTTGACAGCAACTACAATACAGGTTACAAATATAATATATAAATAAACCATACTACAGTTTAATTATTTATGTATTTTAAATTAAAATGAAAAACAGTTTTGTCTTTGCATAAAACTACAGTTTCACCTACAGTACATACGTATACCACCAAATCAGAAATGTGGACATACTCTTGCTTTCTAAGCTGTTGTTCACTTTACCAACATTATAAACTTTAACAATCAGATTATTTTGCCTGGACAGAACAAACTCTTCAGGTGTTTATAAATTTCTTTCATTTTCAGTCCATATATGATCGGATTAAAGAGAGGATGGTACAGAATCACTTGTAACGACATTATGAAACGTACAATTTTAGGAAAATCAGTTTCTATTCGCAGTAGAAGGAAATCATATGCACTCAAGCAGGAATAATTGATTAAAACCAGCAGGTGAGGTAAACAGGTCTGTGCAGCTTTTTTCCTCACTTCCCTACTGCTGCGATAAGATATTATAATTATCCTGATGTATGTGAAGAGAATGAAGAGCAAAGGAGACATTATAATATTTGCAAAAACAACCAAACCATATATATTTAGTGCAATTGAAGTCACACAGTGAAGTTTGTAAAATGTGCTGTTACAAATGATTCCTTTCAAAGTAAAGCTGCAGAGTGTTTTATCAGCACTCAGAACAGCTGGTACTGCAACATGACAAGCAGGTACAAGCCAAGCTAAAACCAGGAAGATCCTCACAGTGGTTCTTCTCATGATAGTTGGATATTGCAGAGGTTTACATATAGACACATACCTGTCATAGGCCATGGCTGACAGCAGTAAGAACTCTGAACCACCTAAAGAATAAAACATGAAATACTGAAAGAGACAGGTTGAATAAGATATGATCTGTTTTTCAGATAAGAAGTCAATGAAGAGCTTTGGGTAAACCGCAGTGCTGAAAAGAACAGCGTTGATTAGCAAAGCTGCAATGAAAATGTACATAGGCTCATGGAGGTTTTGGTGAATCCAAATCAGATACACAATCGTAGAATTACTGCAGATTATTAGAATATATGCTGTAAACATGATCACAAAATAAAGATATCTGTATTTAGTCATTTCCACATACCCATCAACAATTATGTAAGTTGTATTTAGGTTATTTTCCATTGAGGATGTCTAAAGAAAATGCTAACATACTTCACACTATATGTTGTAGTGGATCGTCTCATCTTTTCAGTAACCTGACCTTGAAGTGGACTGTGTTCTTTGAAATATTCTTGCAAATACAGATATGTAGAATTCAAACCAAAGTGTTCGGCCCTCGTGATGTTTTTCTCAGCCTGCTTCACCCTCCATGGATCTCATTAAACTTTCTATCAATAGCTTCCGTCACGTGAACAACATCAAACTCTAGAGTCCTGGACCAGCGGCGGCCTGTGGTACCAAGGGCGCCTAATTGGGGGGCATATGGAGAAGGAAATGCATCAACCCGCATGTGATCACCTCTGCGGGGACGTGCGCACTATCTGGAACAATTAATGTGTACATATTATAGGATTATACATTATTATTTGCAAAGTCATTATTAAACGTAATGTTCTTGGTAAATCTGATTCCAGTCTAACTATGATGATGTCATACGTAAGCAAACAAGAATAGTTGATTAAAACCAGCAGGTGAGGTAAACAGGTCTGTGCAGCTTTTTCCTGACTTCTCCACAACTTCTGTAGGAGATTATTAGGATCTTTGTGTAGGTAAAAAGTATGAAGAGCGTGGGGAAAAGTGCAACATTAAGCAGAACAACTAGACCATATACAGATAGCACTCTCGAACTCACACAGTAAAGATGGTTGACCAAAATGTTACAAAAAACACCTTTCAAAACTAAGTGACAGAGTTTTGTGTTACTGTGTCGTACGACTGGCACTGCGACCTGACAAGCAGGAAGAATCCAGGCTGAAACCAGGAACATCCTCACAGAGGTTCTTCTCATGATAGTTGGATATTGCAGAGGTTTACATATAGACACATACCTGTCATAGGCCATGACTGCCAACAGTAAGAACTCTGAACCACTTAAAGAGTAAAACATGAAAACCTGAAAGAGACAAGCTGAATGAGATATGATCTGTTTTTCGGATAGAAAGTCAATTAGAAGCTTTGGGTAGATAACAGTTCACCACCATGAGCTGATATCATGTGAACAACTCCATCAGACTGTGGAGGCCTGAACCCGTAGGTGTTAGACTTTGTTTACATGGGTGTTGCTCTCTTTACATTTTTCTGTGCATCTGGAAACAACAATGTTACCACAGTGCGTGGAGCAGTGGTTCTCAAAGTGGGGTCCGGGGAACCCCAGGGATCCTTGAGGTGGTTCCTGGGGGTCCCCAGCAAAAAGGGGAAACTTCAAACCTGAAGTGACCTCGCTAAGCTCAGGTCCCGCTTCGTAGTTCAGGCCTCTAGTAACAGTTTGGTCTGAGGGAGAGGCCTTTTTTGTTTCCTCTTGTTTGTGGTTTAGAGATATGTCATTTATGTACGTCTAGTTTTCTTTGCCAGGGAAGTTTAGGACTAATTAATTAAATTATTGTTTGTTGTTTTGGGCACCGCTCTGATGTTAATAAACTGTTATGTCTAGGTTTCCCTCAGACCAGGTACATAGTGATCATCAGAGTACACTGACACAACTTCAGGTGGATCCATTATAAAGATTTATATAATTCAAGGGAACTTTCTTTTATCATACTTATCATACTTGTAAAGTCCAGTTCTGATGACCGTCATCACGTCACCTCAGTCTAGTGTTCATTTTCATGCTGTACACTGAAGAGTTTCAATACTTTCTCTCTGCTGTCAGATTTGTGTGGACCAGAGAACACAATATTAAATGCACTGAGACTTTCAGTGGTGGGAGCATCAATATCACTGCTACTAAAAATATTTTATTAGTTTTTTTTTTTAAGTATATTTTTTGGGTTTTTTATGCCTTTATTTGATAGTGCAGTAGAGAGAGACAGGAAATGGGGAGGCAGAGAGAGGGGGAATGACATGCAGCAAAGGCCGTCCGATGCGGGACTCGAACCGGGGCCAACTGCAGCGAGGACTGGGGCCTCTACACATGGGGCGCCTGCTTAGACCACTACGCCACACGACGCTCCGAAAAAAAAAAAAAATTATTAGTTTGACTTGCATTTACAGTATAAAGAAAACAAGAGAAACATCTGCTTCAGTTTAAATATCAACCATCACATTAACTCACTTTTTAAACTTGATTTTACAACATTGAAAGTGTTCATCTTCACTCTATGATCATTATGAGCTTCATCAATACAACCAGAGATAATGGTACTCATGAATGTAACAAGGTTGTATTTAGGTATGGTTAATTAAATGGAAATTGAAAAAACTATTAATTGTGATTACCTGTTATATAGCCTACCAGGTATATTTCAATAAAAAGTGACTTTTGTGTAACTTCCATCACATTGTTGAGGTTCCCGATGATCATTAATGTGTTCATTATAAAACAAATTGTTAAAAATACTTTCCAGGGAACAAAAAAAATCACATTATTCTTTGTTGAAGAAATGACCCTCAGTCATTTTACACGACATAACAACCTCTTCAGGTGTTTAGAGATTTCTTTCATTTTCAGTCCATATATGATCGGATTAAAGAGAGGATGGTACAGAACGACCTGTAGAGTCATGATTAAACGTGCAGTTTTTGGAATATCAGATTCCAGTCTCAGTATAATGATGTCATAAGTACACAACAATGAAAAATTGACTAAAACCAGCAGGTGAGGTAAACAGGTCTGTGCAGCTTTTGTCCTGACTTCTCTGCTGCTTCGATAGGAGATTATAAGTATCTTTATGTACGTGAAAACTATGTAGAACATTGGAAAAAATACAATATTAAGCAAAATAATCACACCATACATAGATAGGCCTCTTGAACTCACACAGTGAAGTTTGTGAACTGAATTGTTACAAAAAATTCCTTCCAAAGTAAAGTGACAGACTTTCCTCTTAGAACTCAATATAGCTGATCCTGCCACCTGAGAGGCAGGTACGAGCCAAGCCAAAACCAAGAAAACACTGATCGTAGTTTTTGTCATGATGGTCGGATACCGCAGAGGTTTACATATACACACATACCTGTCATAGGCCATGGCTGACAACAGTAAGAACTCTGAACCCCCTAAACTGTAAAAAATAAAATATTGAAAGTGACACACTGGATGTGATATGATCTGTTTTTCAGATAAAAAGTCAATCAGAAGCTTCGGGTAGATAACAGTGCTGTAAAGAACCGAGTTCACTAACAAAGCTGCAATGAAAATGTACATAGGCTCATGGAGGCTTTGGTGAATCACGATGAGGCATACAATGATGGAATTACAGAAAATTATTAAAATATATATGGTAAAGATAATTACAAAATAAAAATATCTGTATTTTTCAACGTCTACATAACCATTTAGAGTTATATATGTTACATTTCTGTCATCATCCATTGGGATTGTCAAACATTAACAATGTTTTAAACAGGCAGATTATATAATAAACATACCTAAATCACATTTGAGTAAAGACGACTGAGTTTGATGATAGAGTTGAATTTACAATTGAATGGCTCATACATTCACAGTTACTAGAGTTCTAAATGCACTCAGTATGTGTTCATCTGTGTAGCTCAAAAAGAGCACGGTTCGAGTTTGTGAAATGTTTTTATCAGATGGCTTCACCCTCCATGGATCTCATTAAACTCTTCACCTAAAGAGACAACATGTAATCAACTTTGTCAAACTCTTGAGACGTGTTTTCACCTGTTTTACTGGGACATGTATCCCCCAAATGTTGCCTGTGTCAACAATAATGGTACTGCACTCTATGTTGTTTACCCCCCCCCTTTCTCAAAAAGAGCCCCTTGTGGTCCATGAGTAGATTTGTTAAAATGTCATATCAAATTTATATTTTAAATTTCGTGTTTCTCTAACTGTCCGCAAGTTTTTCAGTTTTTGTTTATTAATATTAAATCAACTCGTAAGTAATTTCAAACGTTATTATTTGTATTGGCTGTTTTACGGTGTTGTTGGATTTACAGCAATGTAACCTACTGTTTTGCAACACCGTCTACTCATGTAGCTACGTCACTTTACAGTTCATGTTTTACAATTTATGTAAAAAATAACAAGCGTGACATTAGAAAGGGAATGTGAGTGAAGCTTATGGTTAACTCTGGAATTTGAAATAGTCACTTGTAAATATGTTTAGACAGATTTGTCTCCATCTAAGCCATATCCAAGACCTTCTCCTCTTGGAGCAGGGCAGACAGTCATATGTGGTGAGCTACAGGCTGAATCTCGCTGTATGGACTCATACTCACACTATGGCCATTATGTCGAGGCTTTGACAGTCCCATTCAGGGAGAGTACTCCTGGAGACTAGGGATCCACTACTACTGGCCTAGCTTTCTTCTGTCTTGCCACTTGCATCATGTCCAAAGGTCAGGAATGTAATTTCAAGTAATGCACTTTCAGAAGTCAACTCAAAGGATTTGAATGTGCCTTTGCAATCTTCTGTGTAATAACTCAGAACTCTGGGTAGGCCCTATGTGGTATTTTTTGTTGGGCTGAATCCAAGTTTTGAGCTGTTTCTTTGAGACAATCTTCACAGGATATCATTCGGACTGATCCATGATGGTTGGATGGTGATGGGGAGCAATGGCACGCAGTTGGGAGGTGTGGTTTGGAATCAGTTGGCTAATGGTCACCAGATAATTTTTGCTCATGTTGGCAATGGTCAGTTGAGTTGTAGCAGTGACAATCAGATGATTCATGGTAGCAATGGACAGATGAGTCATAGTTATGATAGTTGGGTAATTAATGGCCTCGGGGGTCGTATTCCTTGCAGTGGCAACAATTGTCCCAAGAATGAATTTCCTTGCTCAAGTTCCACAGAAAGATATTTTGAATGTTCCTTTCCCCTACATTACTTTATCCACAAAAGATCCGATGGCAAACTGATTAAAGGTGTCTGCTTTCTCTCTATTGACTATAATTACGGATGTGGTGTCAATCTTGAATATTATGCTCAAAAAAAATTGCGTGGCTGCAAAATAATATATTTTTCTGCTCATAAAGTTGCAGTAGGTCCAGATTGTGGGTCTCTGAAGTTGCAGTGGTAAGTGTTTATTGTTAGAACTATATTGAACATATTTTATCAACCTGCCCACGTCATGATGTCTTTAAGGTTTAAAATGTCTGCTTTATGGCCATATTAATAAAGTTGTCATAAAGTGAAAAGGGTGTATTTAAAAATCAACAATCAACAAGAGGCACTTGGATTGCTTTATGTGTTGCTATAATCGCGATACTCTTACAGTAGTAGCAGTTTGTCATCAAGAATATTGACCTAAACTATAATCAGATAATCTACCATATATTAAGAATTAAGTTTCTACTGTGTACTGTTTTTATTTTATCATGTTCAAAGGAAAAACTGTTTCCTATTAAAGGAAACCAATTAGCTTGTTAGATGTTTTATATTGACATGTTTGTCTTCGCATTTTACATATGTGGTATCAATTTGAACCTGTTCGCTGTTTCAAGGAGTTACAGAACTTTCTGGGGAATCGGTGTTTCCTCATTAAAATGCATATTTAAGCAGAATATCACACCAGAATCCAACCAGATAATTTACTATACAAGGACTATTAAGGTTCTACTGTAAATTGTTCTTGAGTTATCAAGTGGGGTCCCAGTCACACATCATGTAACACAGTGGTGGGACATATAAACAGAATTTAGAGACAATAACAATATTGAAATAAAAAGCAAGTAAAAATGACAAGAGTAAAAACTAATGTTAAATTGATGATTTGAAAGAGGATACTATGGCCTTAGAGGAGGTCCTCTGGCAGATGAGAGCAGATGCTCTAGGCTGTGACAGAAAAGTCACCCTCACATTTACCTGATTGGGACTCTCTTGAAAAGTTATCAGTACAATTTAAAACAAACTCTTAAACAAACAGAGTAAAGAGGCTGAAACAGGTCTAATGTGATCTCATCTTTTAGTGGTGGTTATTGTAGTCATAATTATTACAGATGAAAGTATCAGTCTTGATAACATACATTCTTTTTATCTTGACAGAACAACCTCTTCAGGTGTTTAGAGATTTCTCTCATTTTAAGTCCATATATGATCGGATTAAAAAGAGGATTATACAAAACTAATTGTAAAGTCATTATCAGACGTACAGTTTTGGGAAAATCAGATTCCAGTCTAACTGTTATAACATCATACGCAATCAAAAAAAAATAGTTGATCAAAACCAGCAGGTGAGGTAAACAGGTCTGTGCTGCTTTTTTTCGGACTTCTCCACAACTCTGATAACATACGATAAGTATTCTGGTGTATGTAAAAACTATGAAGAGCACAGGAACACCGACAAGATTTAGAAAAATGACCACGCCATATATAGATATCGCTTTTGAACTCACACAAAAAAGTTTGTAAATTGAGTTATTACAATAAATGACTTTCAAAGTAAAGCCACAGAGCTTTTGATCGGCGCTCATTGCTGCTAATCCCACAAGCTGACAAGGAGGGAAAAGCCAAGCTAAAGCCAGAAAGACTTTTGTGGTCGTTTTTCTCATGATAGTTGGATATTGCAGAGGTTTACATATAGACACATACCTGTCATAGGACATGGCTGCTAACAGTAAAAACTCTGAACCGATTAAAGTATAAAACAGAAAATACTGAAGAAGACAGGCTTCATAAGATATGATCTGTTTTTCAGATAAAAAATCAATCAAAAGCTTTGGGTAGATATTAGTGCTGAGAAAAACAGAGTTGATTAACAAAGCTGCAATGAAAATGTACATAGGCTCATGGAGGTTTTGGTGAATCCAAATCAGGTACACAATAGTAGAATTACTGCAGATTATTAGAATATATACTATAAAAACAACCATAAAATAAAGGTATCTGTATTTGTGAACTTCTACATGCCCACCAAGAGTTATATATGTTATATTTAAATCCTCATCCATTAAAAAAACTTAAATATGAAATCTTGATTATTGAAAAACGCAGATAATTTAACAGGAATATATGAATAAAAACTGAAAAATAAAAGGTCTTACTTTGAAAATTACAATAACACGTCTATGTATTGGGTTTCTCTTATCCACAGTAATCTGACCTTGAAATTCACTTAGAATATGCTCCTGTTTACACCTCAGGACTCAGAAACTGTTGGAGCCTGTGAAATGGTTTTATCAGACAGCTCCACCCTCCATGGATCTCATTAAACTTTCCACTAAGAGTGATCAACATGTAAACAACTTTATCAAACTCTGGAGGCCTGAATCCACAGGCGCTGTTAGATCTGTTTTAAACAGTGTCCATTAAATGACATCATGCTGATTGATCCATTCTTATTTTCACTTAGCTTCATACTCATACTGTATCACTTGGTACCATTTCATTTAGGATAAGAGCAAAGATTGTTTCTCTAGAAAGATGTATCACTCTGTAAAAGGCCAATAAGACTACCCAAAGCAGAATACATCCCATATGACAACTATTTCCAGTTTTATTTCAGATAGAAGTAATGTTTGTTCCCTGGGACAGATGTTCCACTTTCTTTAATGTGCTTTAATGTCGCTTTCACCTGTTATTGTGGAACCTGGTGAAACCCAATAAGGGAGTGACCATGGGTGTCTACGTCATCTTTTCCAAAGGTCTCGGTTTTCGCCTGACAACCCAAAATCTGGTCAGCAGCGTTTCCCAAAGTTTCAGTTTTCGGTGCGTGAAAACTCTTGAGTCGAGTCGACGGGAGGCGAAAACGTAGCAAACGAGATGCGTTTTAAAACAAAAACGTAGTAGTGTGGACGTAGGCGTAGGTTATGTTTTCTTTATTTTCTTCACTGTATCATTTCCCGTTTTATTTTGTGTTACTCAAATTTGATCGTTTCAGATCCTTCACTTCCTGCCCTTGTATCTCCCGCCCTGAGGTGTTTCAGTTGTTTCATTGTCCTTCCCTCCTCAGTGTTTTTAGTTTCTGTCCTCCCACTCCAGCATTAGTTCTTTGTGTTTAGTTTTTCCTGGTTTAATGATATGAGCGAGTTTTCCAGATGATCGACTCAAAACAAATTGGACACTACTACACTTACTACTCCTACCACATGGATTCATGTACAATACAAATGTGGTGAGCCATCCATCTGTTAATGGAGGCTTTGAGTTGAGATTCTTGGTACTGAGGTCAAGAATATAGTCCCGTACATAAGTTTAGTTTTGTCTCACAGAAACTCTCAACAAAGAGGAAATGTTATGAACGTTCCTCTCCTCTATGTCATTCTGTCCTGAAAAACATTCTTTAATAAATGGATGAAAAACATCAGCTTTGTGGTATCCCAGCTCTTACAGAGCTCTTATTAGTGCCACGAGTAGAATAGCTGAGAGGAGTGCCTCGGGCCTCGGGTTTATTATTCTTCCGCGAAATTTTGGCGCGTAACTCGTCCCGCAGCTTTGAGAAAACCCCGGTAATATATACATCAAAACGTGCGTCTTGATCCTGAAAGAGGTGCTATGACTTTTGGTGTTAAAATTCCAATTTTTCCCAAAGTTATTCCCAAAATACTGGGAATAAATAATGCATTGGAATTTTCTTTAGAAACCCACCTTTTTTCTACAAAATTTCACCTTTTTTCCGAGTCACCCAGCTCTCTCATACCTGCACATAGAAATGTGATTCAAACTATAAAACGGAGGAAAACTTCTGCTCTCTCCAAAACATAGGAACTGTTTTTACATAACATGTAAACTTTTCAAACTATGAGCACTCAAAGGAGGAGTGCAAATCACTTTTTCTTCAAAGTTAGAGAGAAAGCATCAGTTGGCTAGAGTGCGTGAAGCAGTAAAAAATAACCTTTATTTTTATTTTTAACTCGAGCTCACGGCCAAACCGTAAAAAGGAGACAAATAATTCTTTCTGAAAATGTAGACATAGTTGTTGGGATTCATAAAATGTAACTTTGACAGGCAGGGTCTGCACAAAATTTAAACGGGGGTGCCGAGTCCGTCTGGCCATAAATGATTGGATTAAATAGAGGGTGATACAAAACCAGTTGTAAAGTTATTATTAATTGAGCAATTTTCGGAATATCAGATTCCAGTCTAACTATAATAACATCATACGAACACAGCAAGGTAAAGTTCATCAAAACCAGCAGGTGAGGTAAACAGGTCTCTGCAGCTTTTTTCCTGACTTCTTTGCAACTGCGATATGTTAAAATAAATATTTTTGCATATGTAAAAAGTATGAAGAGCATGGGAAAAAGTGCAACATTTAGCAAAATGACCACGCCATATATAGATATTGCTCTTGAACTCACACAGTGAAGTTTGTAAATTGAATTATTGCAAAAAATGACTTTCAAAGTAAAGTCACAGAGCTTTTGATTAGCACTCATCGTTGCTGTTGCCACAAGCTGACAAGCAGGGAAAAGCCAAGCTAAAGCCACTAAGACTTCAATAGTTGTTTTTCTCATGATAGTTGGATATTGCAGAGGTTTACATATAGACACATACCTGTCATAGGACATGGCTGCTAACAATAAGTATTCTGAACCACCTAAAGCATAAAACAGAAAATACTGAAGAAGACAGGCTTCATAAGATATGATCTGTTTTTCAGATAAAAAATCAATCAAAAGCTTTGGGTAGATATTAGTGCTGTAAAGAATAGAATTGATTAACAAAGCTGCAATGAAAATGTACATAGGCTCATGGAGGTTTTGGTGAATCCAGATCAGGTACACAATAGTAGAATTACTGCAGATTATTAGAATATATGCTGTAAAAATGATAATAAAATAAAGGTATCTGTATTTGTGAACTTCTACATGCCCACCAAGAGTTATATATGTTATATTTAATTCTTCATCCATTAAAAAAGTTAAATATGAAATCTTGATGATTGAAATAGGCAGATAATTTAACAGGAATATATGAATGAAAGTTGAAAAGTAAAAGGTCTTACTTTGAATATTACAATAACATGTCTCTGTATTGGGTTTCTCTTATTCACAGTAATCTCATCTTGAAATTCACTTGTTCATCTCCACCTCAGGAATCAGAAACTGTTGGAGCATGTGAAATGGTTTTATCGGACAGATTCATCCTCCATGGATCTCATTAAACTTTCCACTAAGAGTGACCAACATGTAAACAACTTAAACAAACTTAACTTAAACTTAAACAATCAAACTCTGGAGGCCTGAATCCACAAGCACTATTAGATCTGTTTTACACTGGTTTGTGACACTGCTCAGACAGATCTCCTGTGAGATCTGGTTTTCATGGATAATGTCGGATGTGATTTGGCAGTTGAAGAAGTCAGTGATGCATGTCCTTTACTTCATGCTGTTTTTGAAAAACCTCTGGATGTCAGCCACAAGATGCCCTCCATGTCTCTGGCTTTCAAGGCCTGGACTTGGGTAAGGATGGTTTGGGCATCTAATCAGCATGCCTTGTGGATGCCTCCATTCAACTTTTATCTATCTATTTATCTATCTATCTCTCTATCTATCTATCTGATCTCATTAAACTTTCCACTAAGAGTGATCAACATGTAAACAACTTTATCAAACTCTGGAGGCCTGAATCCACAGGCGCTGTTAGATCTGTTTTAAACAGTGTCCATTAAATGACATCATGCTGATTGATCCATTCTTATTTTCACTTAGCTTCACACTCATACTGTATCACTTGGTACCATTTCATTTAGGATAAGAGCAAAGATTGTTTCTCTAGAAAGATGTATCACTCTGTAAAAGGCCAATAAGACTACCCAAAGCAGAATACATCCCATATGACAACTATTTCCAGTTTTATTTCAGATAGAAGTAATGTTTGTTCCCTGGGACAGATGTTCCACTTTCTTTAATGTGCTTTACTGTCGCTTTCACCTGTTATTGTGGAACCTGGTGAAACCCAATAAGGGAGTGACCATGGGTGTCTACGTCATCTTTTCCAAAGGTCTCGGTTTTCGCCTGACAACCCAAAATCTGGTCAGCAGCGTTTCCCAAAGTTTCAGTTTTCGGTGCGTGAAAACTCTTGAGTCGAGTCGACGGGAGGCGAAAACGTAGCAAACGAGATGCGTTTTAAAACAAAAACGTAGTAGTGTGGACGTAGGCGTAGGTTATGTTTTCTTTATTTTCTTCACTGTGTCATTTCCCGTTTTATTTTGTGTTACTCAAATT